TCACGTCGACGATTGGATTGAGCAATGTTACATGCATTATAATAGTACGGAATAATAATAACAATATGCCAGATAATCATACCAGGTCTCAGTATAGGAAATTCTATGAATACCAGAGCAACGAAATTCACTCCGGCGCACTACCAAAAAAGAGTACCTACCAGTACCAATTTTTTTTTTTTTTTAACTTTAAAAAAGTTCATTGAACAAATAGGATTATTTTTTATAAATTTTATGTTATATTTAAGGGTATAATTCAGTGATAAACTGAAATTAAGTATGGCTAATATTGTCACATGTAGTAGAACTACTAAACTAACAAAATATGCAACTTAAAATAAGTGCAGAAATAGTATTATTTATAAACTAAAAGTTTATATCATCATTAAAAAAAAAGACAGCCAACTAAACATATGCGTAAATTGCAGTAAAACAACCGTTGTGTATTCTAATTAGAATTTCTGATGTAAAGCTATTACTCACAATTAATTTTAGATGAAATCCCACAAGTAATAAAGTCAAATCAACAATCGTCATTGATTTAATTATTTCATATCACACATAATTGACCATTACTAGATTGCGGTTCACAAAATGTTACGAGACCTAATTTAGACCTAATTAATGTATTCAACTTAAGCAAAAGGTTAAATGAGTTAACTTTTAGAATGATATTGGTAACGTTGTATTGGTGTTCTTAGCTACTTTAAATTGAGCTGTAAAATGTTCACATTAAGTATATATTCTATCAATGATACTTTGTTTTTTTTTTCTTGCTACAACACTGTGCTAATTAGTAGAAAGCTAAACGTTGTTGACGTAAGAAATAAAACGAAAAGTTTCTAATCATAGGTTGCCTGAAACAATTAGCGAAACTATAAACCATAAACATTTTTTAAAATTTATCTACTTCCATGACAATTAGTGAGTTATATGTACCAAACGGTTCCTAAAGTCTAACCTCTTAGATCAGCAAAAAAATCCAACATATAAACATAAATAAATATCTCTGGAGTTACAGGATATTATCAGTTTTGACAATAAGAGAGAGACACTTTTAAACTCCAAACTGCCATATCTCGAAACTGACTAGATGTGCATTGGATCCTTTTTATTTAACTACGTCCAATTATAATTGCGAAAAAATACAGGCTTATTAAATTCAGGGATCGGAATAGGTAGAGTTTTTTTACCTGAACTTCGAGGAATATAGACAGGAAATGGAGACTGCCTTACGACAACATTTTTTAGGTCCTGGACCTGTTCGGGATTCGAGAAATCACTTAAGTACCTACATTAAAAATTGACGTAATTGGGGACAGGTAGGTACACTATATTTATCTTAACTTTGCGACACAGTGTGTCGGATCAGCAATATTGCGAACATTGGATTTTTTTTCACGATACCTCTCTAAAAAAAATCCTATCGAGAGTTGTCCTAATTGTCATGTCATATTTTGCTATAAATCTAGTATAAATCTAGTATAGTAAAAATAATAGTTTAGTAGGAAAAAAATAAAATGTTAATTTTTTGTATGGGACCATACCTTTAGTGACCCATCGTTACGAAGTTTTAGTCGATCCAGTTTTGGAATCACTACAGTAATTATCTGAAGAAATAACTAAACATCAGTATGTATTCGAAACAGAACTTTTAATTTCCTACTGTAACAAAATCCACACGAAAACCACCCAATTTAGTTTTATTTTCCTATATATAAAGCAAGAGACTTTAATGTACAACAGTTTTAGTTCAGAACCCTTAAAATTAATTATTGGTTATCAATGTTTTCAAAGTCCAATAAATAATTCGTGATTTTTAAAATTCCGAGATGAAAATATTGTGATTATCATTCCAGTATTTCAGAGTGCGGTATTATCCACTCTACGTGTGCTCCTTTTTTGAAGTTTAGGTAAATATACTCAATCTATTCCGACATTTCTATCTACTATTGTTTATATGTCGCACCCTTTTTTATTTTAAAGAAGACTGGCAAAGTGTGTTAAGCATGCAGAAGTTTTCTGATTATGACATGAAAATCGATTCAGAAAGTTAAAATGTATACCTAGAATGCCTAGAACACGAACACGAGTACAATGGAACCTACTAAATGTAAGCACAACATGCATATAATTTTCACGTAAATGTTCTTATGAAATAATTCTCTCTCACTCACTCACTCTTTTATGGGGAACTGTATACGTTCTTACAATAAGATTCCGGAGTTTAATATATTTAAGATTATCATTTCCTAAGTTTAAAAACTACATTAAAAATATTTTGATTGAAAAGTCATATTACAAAATTGAAGACTACGTGTTAGATAAAGATGTTTGGAAAGACGACACGGCTCCAGAATCCACACAAATTCCATTCAAAGTGTATATAGCATTTAAGTTTATTTGAAAAGAGCAATCCCTAGAGTTTCTTGCTCGTTCTTCTCAGGGAAGTCAGCGTAGTGAACGAGCAGTAGCTTAATGTAATGTAAATGTGACGTTTTCAAGTGTAAATTTATTTTACCTATGGAATAAATGATCTTTGATTTTGACTTTCCGTGACCGTCTCTGTGTAGCCTGAGCATTACTGTCAAATAAGTAATACCCGACTAAATTAAAAGACGCACAATGCGAATGAAGTTTCATGCTTGACATTGTAGTAATTGTTTCAGACGGATGTCAGAGGGAGGACGGTAGTAGACCTCCAGAATCAATTTTAGAAAAGTTAATTTTCCACTAGTAACTGTAGAGCTCCTTGAGAAAGAGTTCGTCGAGGGAAGTACTGCCACCTTACCTATTTCTGCCGCCAAGCAGTAATATCAGCATTACTGTGTACCGATTTTGGATAGGATTCGGATTAAGGATTATGGTACTGATTAAATTACATGCACATGGGACTCGTCACCTTTAACTACCTCCGCAGAGGTTCCCAGGTTCGATTCCCGGCCCGGGATAAATATTTGTATGCATTTGTTTCTCTCGTGAGTTTGGATGTGATTTGTGGTTGTCTATGTGTGTGTCCATGGCACCCGCGACACAGGGTTTCCCTAGTACGGGGCTATGTTGAGTGTGTGCGTTATTATTATTAAACTTATGTCTCAGGGTGACCGGCGTGTAGCAGTGCCCCTCAAATTTTTGCGTTTTAAAGCTCTGAGTGGAATTGCAATCGTTATGGACGGGCATGTAGCTTACCATCAGGTGCACGACTTGTTCGTCCCGCCACTTCATATTATTATTTTTTTTAAATCCCTGTCCGAAATCGAACCCAAGACTTCTTAACTGTAGGACCACCGATTTCGTCAAATAATAGAAAGTCATCAATGAAAAAGCTCCGTTTGAAACAAATCAATTAATGATTATTTATTAATTGATTATCTGCTTACTAAGATACCGGATCTCCTAGTTTAGAAGGCAGGGTAATCTTGTTATTGTATGATTTCGACTTTTAAAAATATTATAACAAATTTATGACTTGCGATTTATAAATAAAGTCAGGACGTGAGCATCGAGTAGGGTTCTGGAATACGGCCCTAACTTTTCTGCCGAGCGAAACCACAACTTTTCACCTCACTATAGCGAGGAAAGTGGTAGATGAAAGAATAACAGATGAACAAATCAGTTTTAATAAACAAAATTGGTTATCGTTGTCAATTTAATGTCAACAATAATAACAATAAAATATACTAATGGATTTATATTACATAAATAATGTGCTACAAGAACGTGTCGTTATGTTTTTTCATTGAAAGAGAAAGTTAGGTGCACTACAGTCCATCGTCAAATTCGAATTTCAAAAACTTTTTCCACACTAGAGTGGAAAAAACGCTGTTGTGCGCAGATTTCTAATGAGAAAGAAAGCCTTTCCGAGCTAGTGCGGTGAAAAATATACCACAACTTCTCTCCGGTGATATTTTGTTTTTACGACCTCCCCTCATTCCGTTCCTGTGCTTCTAACGCGACCTGGGCAACAAAAAGCAAGTACCTTACACCGATTGGCAAATTCTTTCATTACGATGGCAAGCATAATAGTGTTTGCCATCGACACAATAACAAGATGGCTATAAACTTTTAATCGAAGACTAGAAATGTACTCGACTTGAAGAATTCTTAAATTTTATAAAAAAAAATTGCGTCCTGCTGCTGCCTCCTTGTAATAATTAACGCAATCGACATTTTAGCGAAATTGAGTTATTAACTTATCTGGAAACAGTGAAACGAATTCTACAACTTCCTCTAATCGGTTTTTATGACTTATTTAGTTTCAGTTTTTATTGTTAAGTAAAATCATCGTAATTGACTTTTTTCACAGAAAAAAAAACTTTAGGCGCCAATATTTCGAAAGTAACCAAAATGCAAATGTGTTAGTCATTACAAGGACCATACTGCTATGAAAAAATGAAGGAATGCACGATGTAAAAGAAAAACTTTATTGCAAAATAAAGAAAAATAGGTACAGAAATGTACCTAGCTCCCATACTAGGAGCCCCTGTACTATGGGTAGCCAAGCTTGGTCTTACTTAGGATCTGTCTCTGTTTTTTTATGTCTAAACATAGTAAAGTCATTTTCACACGTTTTTTGCCGTTACCTAAGTCTATATTTCACAGTAGATTGCTATATGTACAACAAAAAGATCTTGCCTTATTTTAATTGTTGATTATTATAGGTACTGGTGATAACAAAGTAGCTTTAGCAATTAACTACATATGCCCGAATGAGGAAGTAATGGATTCCATGTATTTATAATAATGATCCATAATCAGTCATGTCCGATACTTACATATTTTGTTCCTGGGCTAAATTTTTTTCTTAAAGTTCTTTAGTGTACGCTAACCATTGAAAATATATTCTATAATATATGGTAAATATCCTTTAGTATCCTACGAGTACTGAATGCCAGGTACATTTAATGTGTGAAGCTTTTATAGTTGTCTTCCTGTCAGGGCTCAAAAGAAACTGGTCTAATAATATATCAACAGAGTCTCTCGCGCATGATCATTAGTCGATCCCGGTCCGCGGTGGGTGGTGGTCAAGCGGTGACAAAAATAAAATAAACATTTTTAAAATTTTCACGTGTGGTAGTGAAATGAAGTGGTTTGTTGTTGTGTTGGTGTGCCTCGTGGGATATGGAGAAGGTGGGGGTAAGTTTCCCCCATTTTTTATATTACTACATGTTATTACGTGAGATAAGAAGATATGGGACACAACTGGTCGGGATGACTAGATAACATTAGGATATTTCGTTTGTTCTTTTTTATAATTACGTAGAAGTTAATAATTGATAAGTCAAGTTTTTGTTTATTAGTCGACAAAAGCGTATCTGTAAAAGGATGAATTCTTTATGAAACAGTTTAATGTTAATTGATACCAAGGCGAATAACTTTTAGAGTGAGATTAGGGTGAAAAATGTAAGTTTAAAACCTGCGGATATCCACCCTAAGGCCAGGATTGGTTATAGTAATCCAAACTAATATTGTAAATGCGAAAGTAACTGTCAGTCTGTTACGTTTATACGCCTAAACTGCTGAACAAATTTTGGTATAGTGACAGATTGGATTTAAAAGAAGAACACAGGCTACTTTGTGTCACAAAAATAAATTTTAAGTAGAAATAGGGGATGAAAGTTTGTATAGAGAACAGTGACAATGGTGTCCTGAAGATGATTGCCTCTAGATTTAAATGTCCTATCCAGACGCATTGGAATTGTGTAATATTTTAATTTATTTATTTTAATTCCGTGCCTAGTCATTTAATTTGTAAAATTAAATTCTGTAATAATTTAAACTTATTTAATATAATTCTGTAATAATTAAATTTGTAACATTTCTTTCTATAATAATTTAATTGAATGAAATTTAATTGTTATGATTATTAATACTCAGAAAAAATTCCTTCGATCCGGCCGAATTCGAACCGACGACGTCTTCTAGCATACCAATAAAAAAAAAGAAAAAAAAGAAAAAAATATATAAAATGTAATTATTACCTACTAACATTATTTTTTAAGTGACATTGTAACTAACACTATAGATTCAACTGGCTTGAAATAAGTGAATTATTATTATTATAAAACTGTGCAAAATTAGTATAGGAAGTACGCTACTCGCAAACAAAGTCGCGGGCACCAGCTAGAATTTCAATAAAGTAAACTTGACACTTAAAGCCATTTAATACTATTGTATATGCCTACGCTTTAGTTCTGTTGATACCTAAATATTTGTTTGTGTGTGTTTCAGATATTGTCGGTATAAATGCCATTATTAACCGATTTCAAAAAGGAGGAGGTTGTCAATTCGATTGTATGTTTTTATTTGTATGTATATTATGTGAACTGATTTTGATAATTCTTTGTTTGTGTTGGAAAGAGGATACCTCAAACGTGGCCCTATCTAAATTTGAAGAAAATAATCCACTCACACGAATGATTTCTGAGGTTGGTTTTTCCGTTTAGTATTTTACTAGTTTCTCTTGCCATTGTCTTTGTATAATTTCACTAAGTAGTTTAACTGGTTACACACTAGCGTTTTCAAACCGGAAATCTAGGTCTCGTAAATTTCGAGAGTCTACGCTACTATTTTGGCATTTTCGAGACTCCAAACCGATGTTTTTAGTCTCGAGAATATGGATTCTTAACTTGACATAAGTCACTTAATTGAACAGTATTAAAAAAATCTACTAAAGCACTGTTGCTTGAGTAGTTTTTTTTTTAAAAGATTTTTAAATAATGACTGGTCATTTTTTATTATTTTTACGTGGATATGGCATCAATGTGTTTGTGGCGGTTTAAAAGTGGTCTGAAATTACATTAAACGCTGAAGAGTCGATACTACCGCAGCTCAAAATCAAATTTATGCCGTACTAATACGGTTCAGTTTGCTTGGGTCGGGCGGTAGAGACACTGGCTTTATTTCAGAATTTATTTGTTCACAAACACAAAAGCCATTTGAAAAATGTATATGTTATAGTATACGTGTTCTGTTTAGTTTAGTTGATATAAAAAAAAAAATCATTGGTATATGTAAAGTAAATTTTTTTCTAAGTAAAAGTTCTTGTAAAATTTCGAGGTAAGTTTATGTGTTTTTTCTGTCGTGAAAATGTTTAGGAATCGGGTTTTCACACCGTACAGTAATCAGTGTATATCGTCCATTTTCGTATATATTTATTCCAAAGTGATTGACTTTCATTGTTATGCGGAATCAACCAAAGCCATTTGAGGTCGTGTAGACACTTAAAACAAAATTGTTTCTTAAGGCGGCTACAGATATGCTAAATTTTTTGACGTATATATTAATCCACAGCCAAATGCGATCCTCCATGACCCATCTATAAAATATTGCATTTGGTAAATGAAAGGCGTAGATGCAATTGTAGATGCCATTTCCAATACCATTTTTTTTGAAAAGGCGAACTGCATATTTTCTTGTTTGGTACGTGGTTGTGTACTTGTACGCGGCTTTTTTTTTATGATACTAAGTGACGGAATGAACAAGTCGTGTAGTCCTGCACTTGCTGGTATGCGACGCGCTTGTCTATAACAGTTGCAGTGCCACTCAGAGCTTTAAATCGCAACAAGTCCCACGTCAAGTCACTAAAGTCACTTTATATCTAGTCCAGCGATACGCAGCAATCGCTACAAATCTCTTTTGTATATTTTTTATATAGTCTTTTTAAGTTTTGTTTTATATTCAAATTCTAAATTTAAATGCGATTGTTTTTGGAGCCTTTTCTTTACTTACTATTGTTTCTGTTTTTGGCTGTACGTGTTTGTAATAAATTAATAAACAGTAAGGACATTTACTTTGGTTTTGCTTACTACAGCTTGCGTGTCTTAGTAGCGGTCTAGTTGAGGGCCTGAAGCGAAGAGACGCGCAGAGCACGTGAGTTGCCCTTTAAGCTGGAAGCTATGTCCGGATATTGTCGCAGGACACTGCGACTGACCTCTCCGACACTAGCCCGGAAAGCTAGTAGAGGATAAGCTAGGTATCCTCCGGTCCCTCCAACCGCTTAGGTTATTGGGAACTGGAGAGACGTCGTTTTTCGGCGTCGAAGAGTGAGCGTGCCTTACAGTTCCGCCACCAATGAGGAGATTTGGTCTTGGACTCAGAGTCGACGGCTTAGCGGTGGTAACCGCTAGTTCTGCAATGCGCAACGGGAAGTGAGCGGCCTACAGGTCCGGTACCTATCTGGAAAATAGGAGGGTACTGTACGTGCACCCGGGGCGGTTCACTCGAGGCACTAGCCTCTCGAAAACCGAATGGTGGGTTAGAGGGTGGGTAAGGGGTGGGTTGTGGGATGGATTAGGGGGTGGGTTAGGGCGTAGGTTAGGGCGTAGGTTAGGGCGTAGGTTAGGGAGGTCAGGGGTGAGTTAGGGGTGGGTTAGTAGGTGGGTTAGGGGGTGAGTTAGATGGTGGATTAGGGGGTGGGTTAGGGGTGGGTTGGGGGTGGCTTAGGGGTGGGTTGGGGATAGATTAGGGGGTGGGTCAGCGAGTGGGTGGGTGAGTGGGTTTGAGTGGGTGGTTGAGTAGGTGGGTGTGCGGGTGAGGGGGTGGGTGAGTAGGTGGGTGAGCGGGTGTGTGGGTGGGTTGGGTTAGGAGGTGGGTCACTCACGCCCCCAACCGACCCCCAACCGACCCCCCAACCGATCCCCCAACCGACCCCCCAACCGACACCCTAACCGACCCCCTAACCCACCCCCTAACACACCCCTAACCCACCCCCTAAGTCACCCCTAACGCATATTCGTAATGACACTTTTATTCGGTACTTTTGGTTTTAATTGTTAGTTTCAATTGTTTCTTAGAACAACTAAAAAACTTAATTGCAATTAATTTAATTGCATATATTCAATTGAAATCAATTGCAATTAAATCAATGCGACGTGTCGCAATTGATTTCATTGCATTTTAATCTGATTGAATTTCTGATAGAAATTTAATTGATTAACGCCCAACACTGGTAGGGACACTATGAACAAAACTTATGCAGAAAGATATGGGACTGATCTTGTTCACTCCTTGATAGCACCCACCCGAACGCATTGATACACTCCACCACACCTACCTAGGTGAATTTTGTCAAAAGAATGCTGCCATCATTAAAACTGGGGTTATGTGCCACAAATACTTTTCCTTTATATAAAAAAAAACAGTAATAAGCAGGAAATGATGAGAACACAGTTCCTCATGCAATCTTCAGTTTACCCTGTTGTTTATAAATAGAATATCTCTCTACATTATTGCCAACATAACAATGCGGTTGGAGAATGTCTCTGTTAAGTAGCATTGCAGGTACATAAGTAATGTGACTGATTTGTAACAAAATAATTTTCTAAGCATTTTTCATTACGCCTATTACCTATCTTGTATCAAAATTTATTCTTGTAAAGGTACATTCGTCGGCAATAAAAGTGAAATTGAAATGTTTATTGGAAATTTCAAATTAAATTATTATGTAAATATTTTGCACAAATTTATTTGTAGCGTAGAGCTTCTTTTGAATAAGTTCGTCCTGGGAAGTACTGCCTTACCTACCTACCTACCTTACCCATTTCGCAGTAATGTGAGCATTACTGCGTTCCGGTTTTGAAGAATAAAGGTGCTGGCTGCGATCTAAAGCTTTGAATGGTATTGCAGCTGCTATGGGCAGGCGTGTCGCTTACCACCAGGCGCGCGATTTGTTCATCCCGTCACTTGTTATCATATAAAAATTCGAACTAGGGAATACCCGTAATATGAATACTACAGCAACTGAATTCACTCCGGTTCCCTTAACCCAGAATAAATTGAGAAAGTTTATTAATTTGGGATATTTCCCAAATATTTAATTTACTTTTTGTTTCCAAATTTTATTATTTTTTATTTTGATAATATACAGGCAAGGTACAATAAAAGCTTAAATATTAGAAAGTAAAACCAGGAATTTTTAATTATATTAATCAATTGGGTCTCCGTGGCAAGGCGCCCAAGATGCTGGCAGCGTTCTCCCTTTGTACGGCTATGCTAATGCGTTGGGCAAGGTTCTGGCTCTTGGGTTTCCCAGACAGTCTATTAATTTGTTGTATAAAATTTTGTACGATGACGAGCACTGGAACCCCACGGGCCAAGGGTTTCGACTCCAAAGGCTGTAAATAGGTAGTCGTAGC